GGATAAACAGTTCAACCAGTACCAGCTCCTGTCCTAATATACAGTGTGTATATTACAGTGTGTTGTGTATACAGTGTGTTTCTCAAGTATACAGTGTGAACCATATGGGATCCTCCTATGCAAAGGAGCTGTGAAATTGAGGATCCAGCCGTCACAATGTTTCACTCTCAATGTTTCAGGTGTGAAGACTTCTTAAACGCAGAGCATATCTTAAGAAGTAACCAGTCAGTGTTTAAACAAAAATGATTCAGTAAACAGTGCGTAAATCGGCCTACAAATCTGGTTTCTAGGAAAGGCTATACAGGAAGAAGATACTTATGATTTAAATTGAACGCGAGAATTTATGGCAAAGCGTGAATTATCGGCCATCGATATTCTCCCATTTGAAGCTATGCTAAAAAATCGATTATTCCAAGCACCCTTTAATCGATCCTTTTTCATTGGTTTAATTGGCAGATCAATCGATTCATCATTAAACACGACACACTACTGATGGGAATAGGATTCGCGGAATCGCGGTAGGTGCTAAAAATCCAAGTCTGTCTCCACCTCTAACACTTCCGCACCTCGCGCCACGTTCGGCTCGAGGTGGAAGGAGGGAGGAGCTGGCGAAAAAATAAACAAGGGTCGAAGATAAAAATTTTGGCTCGAAGCGCGAGTGATAAGCGCGAGTATCATTCATGAAGTCTCTTTGAAGACGCGCGGAGGACATTAAGCCATCAAAATACACGGGCCGCCCGAATAAACAGACCCGAGATCTAAAATTGTTTTTACGCCCGAATTTCGTTCGGCGAGGAACGCGTGGGCGTCGCGTTTACGGCGGAATTGAAGGATCGTTCACTTTTATTGCGTCCGAGTTTACCGTTTGTTTTCGTAAACACTTGGGCTTCGCGAGTTATCACCGGCGCGTAACTAGCCGGACCCGGAAAAAACGAACGCAGCCCCATCCCTGATAGCAGAACGCCTTTATAAGAAAAGAACTGAAATCTAAATCCTTTCAGCGGGCTGATTATTGAAATTGACAGACAAAGCAATAGACAAAGAAGACAAAAAGGATATGGAGGGATCCTATTGGTGGAGGCGGGTGGTTGCGATGGACAGACGACGTATGTAATAGACTAACTAACGGCAACCCACGAGAGACCTGACACTTAGTCCATAATTTTCTCTCTCAGTCTATAAGAACCACCCATTTTAACCAATAGGATCGCTCTATACTCCATATGTCTCCTTTGTCACAGAGCTCTCAAAACTGACGAGATAACTATTCGTACGCTTTGGTACGATATTTTGCCTAGTCGCCTGTTTGAAGGCGTTCCTGGGGCAGCTGTAAGTTAATGTTATGGGAAAGCTGTAGAACAACTAACAGAGTTCTCAAAACTGACGAGATAACTATTCGTAAGTTGTGGTACGATATTTTGCCTAGTCGCCTGTTAGAAGGCGTTCCTGGGGCAGCCGCAAGTTCATGTTACTACGTACTGGAAGACTATGTCTATTCACTACTCGTGCGTTGCGGTGCGACTTATTGCGCAGTCGTCTGTTCGAAGGCACTCTTTCTGATTGTCCACGTCTATAGCACCTTTAGAATGTTGTAATTTTAGCTGAGCACGCTGCGCGTTACTCGATTTTGAAGTACCGTAATCGAGGCCTTTGAAAATTTCGAAGTTGATTTATTATTCAATGGAATGAGGAAACTGATCCTGCTTGAAGTGTTGGAGCGTCACGGCCAACAGTCATCATAAGGGTTAGAGGATGAATCCCAGTGAAATAACAGAATTCGGTACTTGTGAAAATACGCACTTCGCGGCAATGACGTGCGTTTGGGTTGGGTTTCGGCGCGACATTACGCAACCATCGGATTGTCTGCGAGTTTTTAAGTCGCGTCGCACAGTGGATGGAGTCAATCAGAGAGGTCGGACAATTTTGATGTTTATTTCGTCACATTTTCAATTTCAAGATGTCTACAAGTCCAGAATTTCCGGAAAATCCGGAGATAGTACGGATTTTTAAGGGCGGCCCGGAAGTACTGAAAAAGTGCGGAAATTCTTCAAGAAGGTCCGGAATTTTTTGTCGCAATTTAAACGAGAAAGTCAAATTTTTGAAGTTTTTCGAATTTCGTCAACTGGTGGCACTGAAAAAGTACTGAAATTTTCTGTCGAGGAGTTACTGAATTTCTCGGGAATGTACTAAAAAAGTACCGTTAAAGTACTGATTTTTAGCCAGCGTGTTTTAGTAGACACCCTGGCTTCTAGAAGAAAATACGAGGAAACCAATGAACCCACTTTTAGAACCTCAAAGTTTTGTATAAACGGAGTTATAAGCTTTTAAAGTTTCGAAATTTTGTCCGACCTCGACGATCGACTCGATCCACTATGCGCCGACGGCTCACAATCAGTCAAGTTCGACTCTCGAGTTAAGTTCCGAGCTTTTCGGCTGACGCTTGGGCTTGACAGAGCAGCGTGTCACTCGCGCTAGCGACCCGCTACACGCGCTAGTCAAACGCGAGGCGGCGGCGTCTTGCCCGCGGCTTCGACTCATTATCATTGACGCAACGAAATCACCGAATCCTCCATTTCACGCGGCGCAAGTTTTCGCCGCGGGTCCGACCATCAAACGCCAATCCAAGCTGCCGAATAGACTCAGACTGCCATGCGATGGAGAACGTCATAATTATGCACATTTGGACATTGCCGAATTTCTCTAATTAAAAAAAGATTTTTCAGAAAGCTTGCGAATCGATGGCTACGGCGCGACATCGTGTATCTCCATTTCGGTGCTTCAAAATCTCCAATAGTGTTCGAAGCTCACCTTTGAGTTTTAGGAGCCATGTGGCGCACTAAGCCTGATTTTTAGGCGCCATTGGAGATTTTTTAGGGGCCAAATTGACTTTTTGCGTATTTATTTCGGCATATTTAGTGAAAAATTAGACGCAAGATGTTTTCGTAACAGAACTAGGTAAGTAGCTGTAACTTGAGGAAGACAAAAGCACTGAGGATGGAATCGTGAAGAGTAGAAAAAGCTTTCACTTGTAGTGCTGAAAATTTCGAATAATCACCTAAATGAAAATTCAGATTTTTAAGGGACAATTTTTAGGGGCCACGTTGGCGCAGAGTCTTCATTTTTTAGGATTGTTGGGCACCTCTCTGCCATCTTGTTGTTGAACTGGTGCGTCATTTTAACGCATTGCCACTAGTATAGTAGAATTCTAGTAGAAATCAAAAAGTACTTTCTATCAGCTGAGCGCTTAATAATGGCTGGAAGTCTAAAACGTCGCAAAAGAAGATACGTGATCTCGCATTGTAACCATCGAAATAATTTTTCTTTCTATTACTTTCATTTATCAGAGAAAATTCCCATTTGAACATATTTTATCTGATAAAAGAAACTATGGGCAATAGAACGGAGCTAAGTAACACGCGAATCGTATGAACCTAGTTCGTCTTGATTGTGGCTGGGTCGTAACTGTTGATCAATCCACTGAAACCAGTAGAACTTGTTGCTTTTCTGAGTCTTCGGACTCAGAGTTCGGAGATTTCTCCATTCGCCGCTTTTGGCTGTGATAACCTCCTAGATGTTGGTTATACTGTGGTTGTCTGGATTCTAACGTGACATTTTGGGAGGAGAGTGTTGTCGAACAGCCAAGCAGGACCGCGCAAGCTCACGAATTGGTTGTGAAATAAATTTAAATTGGTGAAAGTGATTTACGAAAGTCTAGACGATACGACCTTTCCCTCTGCCTATTAACCTATTCTGATATTCATTGATTGAATTGGTTTTAGTATGGGTAACGTCTACGAAAGATGTTGTTCACCCCAAAAGCTCTTTTCTCCCTTGCGAGACAACTCGCCAACCCATGAGAAGACCTCTTGAATTCTGTGCATCCTTTTAAATTGCAATTTTTTCGCCGTTTGAATTTTGATGGTTTCGTGCGATTCCGAAAATGTTGCACTTTCTTCTTTTTTGGGTTTAAAAATCGCTGGAGAACGATAACACTCGGAAGTTGTTTCAACGTGTCGAGTCCATTCCTATTCAGTGGTGTACAATTAACAATTTTTGGGTCAATTTCGGTGAATTTTGATGTACCTCAAGTCATTATGGGAGATTACTTTTTAAAACCCGAGAAAATTTTGCCTCCTCTGAACCACCACCACCCCCCTTCCTCCTGTAATTGGACTATAATGGCGCCCCTGCAATGAAATCCCTCTGACTCCGACCCCTTCAATTTTTACTGTAGTGGTTTTCGTGGGCTGGTTTGGACGTATTTTACCTTTCACATGTATCAACGGAGTATTGTCAGGCACCGAGTAAGTGTCCAATTCGAAAGGGGGCGCACATACGAACTTGATTCACTCTCAAGGACACCGCCTGCATACGTTCGAATGTTTGGTATTGGAAATTCAGTCGTGATCTCCGTTCGCCTCATGCGGAAATCAGCTTTAACCTCTACTAATTTGTCGGTGAAGTCAGGCAGAACATTGCGTTTATGTAGATACTCCTCGCACGATCACCGACTCAGTTGCTTTGCAAATCATCGCCCTTATTCGGTCCATGACTATCCCATGTATAAGCTTTCTGACTCCCCAAAGTTTTACTCTTGATCAAAGTTCGTTACAGAGACTATTCGACCAATATTCGGGATTTGCGGCTACCGACAGGTAATACCTAACATTTAAATGAGCTCGCCTCCGTAACATTTTTGAATCAAGATCTAGGAAGCGTCATTTGAGGGCGCAAAGCGTCCTCTCGAGATTGAGCCGCACAACAGCCAAGGGGCGAACCCCTTAGTTGGTTTAAACTTCGCGTGATTGCCGCATCAACTGAATTATCCGGATTCATAAAATGTGTAATCCTAATATGATTTGTCTACCCTTTTTCTTCAATGCCTCACCATCCACCTACTCTTGTTTTTTTTTATCACCTGAAAATTATTTGGAATTGGTGTTGATTTTGGTTTAACCCGCATTCCGTACTCATTTTTCATTTTTGTCTGTCCAATTTAGCCACCATGAAGTTGACAACGGTTCCTGAGACGATACTACGTCCTCATAGAAAGTTCATGAAAGGAGTGCCCAGTAAAAGGCTCGCCCTCAGTCAACACAGGTTGATCGCAGGTAATAATTCTTTTCCAACTTGTCATCAATTTTTGGCCTCTATTGCTACTCCCTGGGAATCATATCCCGTTTGTCTTATTTGTGTTAATTATTCGGGATAAGGATTATACTGGCAACTATCAGCATGGTCAAATATAAGGCGATGCCAAGTTTTTGCAACCCAATAGGTGTGCTTCGCCAATTTGTATGAAGTCAAATATTTTGGTGACAACTTAAAGCACTAAACAACACATTCATACCGCAATCGTTATTCCTTTTCACTTTTTACCTTTTTAATACCTTTTTTGCCACCATACTTAAGTGTCAATTGGTGTGAGAATAAAAATAAAGCTACAGTAGACTCTGGATTATCCGGATTAATTGGTGCCGGGCCCGATCCGGATGAAAAAGAAATCCGGATAATAATAGTAAACACAAACACCACCAACCAACACCACAATATTCTTATTATGTATAGGTACATCATGTACATACCAACAAGAATTTAAAGGGTTAACGCCAAACTGAACGACTCAATGGTGATCGTGAATGGTAGCCGACAACGATAAATTACAATACAACGATTAAAGCGCGCATTGCGTGAAGTATTCATGCAGTCTTGTAGCCGCTAATGTGCGTTTTAGGCTAACTAACCGACTGCACTGCGTTTGGCGTAATGCGAGAAGGATTTACGCAATCTAGTAGGCGCTAATGCGTTCCACGCTGACCTCACTGTTTGGCGCAATGCGTGAAGTATTCTTTCAGCCTTGCAGGCGCCAATCATATGCCTTGCGACCGCTTCTCCGCGGATCCGCTCACTTATCGGAATGCGTACGTAGTTACATGGTTGCAAAATCGATCCGGATAATCCAGAGTCTACTGAATTAGCAAAGTAAACAAGCTGATATTGAAAGTTCATATTGAAGCTTTCCCTCCTATTTTAAATGTGAAAAATCTAAGATTATCACCAAGGGAGGGCGGCGAGCCCTTCATTACTTATCGACCTCTTTCTAGGAAAAATTTTAGTTTACTTTGATAAATTCGACATTTTTTTAAATTTTATCTCTTCTCTGGAAGATTTGGCTAAAATGACACTCTTGGAAAAAATCAAGTGCAATAACTTTTACTCTTTCTATGGGGGGGGGGATGTGTGTCAAATACTAATTAAAGCAGAAGCATACAGATGACATGTACCCTATCCTCTTCAGATGATTCTAATTATTGATTAATCATTCTTAAAACTCCATTATTTTTGTTCATCATAGCTTCAAATGTTCTAGGGAAAACCACTCAAGTAATGAACAGTTCAATTTTTTTCTAAACTTAATCCTTTTTTCTCCATATTCTTTTTCCAGCCAAAAAAGAAGATTCTTGCATGAATGTAGACATCTGTGACAATTCAAATGATTCAGGTCTCGGTTTCGATCACCATACAGATTACAAGTACACCAAACACCCTGCATACTCGTATGACCAAGAGGTAATTTCGCCATCATGCTATATCTTTTAAAAATGATTATTCAGAATTTTTTCAAGCTGAAGAAGAAATTTTTCAGCTCTTTTTTTGATTGTACTTTGTTTTCTTTCATATTTTATCATGAATAGGTAATATTTTTATGGTCATATTTCAAAATTAATCGTACATCCTGTTCTACATTTTCAATGATATTTTAGCTTTCCCTTTTTTTCAAAACATTTTTTCTTTATTAATTCCTAAAATTTTTGTGAAATTCGCAGAATTTACAATTCCAAAAATTCAAAAATTGATTTTCTAACTGTGATAAAGAAAATTGCTAATATTTCAACCTCATTATCAAGTTAGATAAATCATCCATCAATTTGGTGAAGATGCAGATTTTCTGTATCTACATCTGCCTCTAAAGTTGCCTATGCTTGAATATGCTAGAATTTTTTAATTTTTCCGTACCTAAAATTGATAACTTGAATTTTACGTTACAGCAGAGCTATTGGGCAGAGGATACTTATAATAAAGTGAAAAAGAAAAAGTATGATGTGAAATTGGAATCAGACGACGCCACAGACAATTTTACCTTCCCCATCTCCTCACTCAACAATTCAGGCATCACTCCTGTCAAGTAAGTTCCGTCATTTTAATACCACCAACTTTTTGCCTTTCTAGCTCCCCCTTTGTTCCTTGATCCGAATCTCCCTCTCAAAGGAACGTATCTTGATTGCGCTGTTTCAGTATTTCTTTCTTACATTTGATTTTTTATAAGAGAACCATCACTTACATTTTATTTGTTCCTAAAAGAACTATCGCATAAATTTTCCTGTAAGTTCTAGTAATTTTTCTTCAGTATTGGAAGCAAATAGTTTGAAATTCTCAGACTAAATCAAGTGACAAATCTCCCTTGAAGAAATGTAATATTTGTTGAAATACTGAAACAGCACAGGCAAGATACGTTCATTTATGTGAGAAATGACAATTCTACATAATTTTTTACTTTTAAATATAACTGTCTCAATATATACAGAATGAAATACTTACTCGCTCTAATTTTGGTACATTTTATATGAGATGCATCACGTGAGTTGAGGATTTTTAATGTACATCCTCTCTAGCATATAAACAAGTACCTAAAAGCTAAAAACCTAAAGTTCCGTTTTCTCAACATCTTCATCTAAAAAAGTGGGGCATCTGGCCACCCAGCTAAACTCCCAATACAAGTTGTCTGCTTGTTATTTGTTTTTCGCCGGTTTCTTTGGCTATAATTTCAAGTTTTGCTCAACACTCTCACTTAGTTCAATGGGACTAGCCTCAGATAATGATAAAGCCAGTAATTTAGGGCAAGATAACACGTTACTCATGAATTTCATTCAACTTGTAAAGTGTGTCCTCTCTGTCCAAGCGTGAAACAAGATAAGTGAAGTTGGCTTAGGTCAGTACAAGTTTGAAGTCAAATTTATCATGTCTCGCAAATGAAATTGCGCTCAATGCCCACTTCTTCTTAAAGTTATGAAACTTGTTTGTGCTTTTTTTAAAACTAAGCTTTCATTATTTTTTCATACTTTACATAATCGTAGGTTTTGTTAGTTCATTATGAGGTAATCTTCTAGCCCCAACTAATTTTCTTTTCCTTTTTTTACAATCAAATCATACGCATTTGGGAATTGTTGCACTAAAACAAGCATAATAAGGCAAAGTAGATGTTAAATAATTTCGCCAACTTAAATTAAAATAGCCAAATTATTCGCCGAAAGTAGCTATGAAATGAAGTAAAATCCATCAAGTTTCTGAAACAGCTGAAAATTTTAGCTTTTTTGTCAACAATGAGTCATAAAGGTAGTTGTTTTTTGAGTTATCCATATAAACTTTTACTAAAGTTTACTTTACTAAAGTTTTTTTTCTTATTCTCTTGCAGTGTTGTCAGACCTGTGAAGTTATCTTCCTTACGTGGAAATTCTGGTCCAGTCACACTCACATCTCAGCTGAGCGCTACAAGTAGAGATGGAAGTGTATCTTTGCAAATTTTGAGTCAACCAGAGCAGCAACACCGTGCTCGCTATCAAACTGAAGGAAGCAGAGGAGCTGTCAAAGACAGGACTGGAAATGGTTTCCCTGTTGTAAAGGTAATTTTCGTCATTTGAATATTTTCTAGAATCTCATTTTTGAACCTTTTGAGGAAATTTCCAATATAGTGTTCCAAATTTGAAAGGACATAATCTTACTTACTGTGGTAAAACATAATCTTTGTTTCGGATATGATCCTAAAATCTTCTGCGGCGATTCGTCCATGATGAAATAAAATGCTCACATTAATACTAAAATAACACAGGCAAGATACGGTCCTATGTGCAGGAGATGACAAGCACTTTCATAGATTCAATTATTTGGAGCTGTTATCACAATTCTTGAAATGCAGTTGATAAAACCATTTAAAATATTTTAAAAATATGTACTTCAAAAGTTACTCTGGCTATAGTATTACTCTTATTTTTTCCAAGCCTAAATTATTCTCACCCTCTGTTTGAAGAAAATTTCTCGCAAGTTGTCCTGTTTGCAAGAAGTATATATTAGTTTTGCTGCACAACATTCAACATTTACAACGATAAAAATCTTTCCCTACTTCCATAAAGTTTGATCTGCTATTACTGGATCAGTTTACTTACTTGAATGCCGAACAGCATCTCATCATATTTCCTGTAACACTGAGGCTCACGCTTCCAACCTTCTTTTCGCCTCTGTGAAATCAATCAGATGACTTATTGTTTGTTACATACAAGTGAAGCTCAGAAATAAAGGATTGATACCATCGAACAGCTGTGCAATCATGAAGATGAGATCAGAATAAACTTGTGGTTTTGCCACGAGCATTAATTCCGCTGCTTTTCCTGTTTGTCTCTTTTTCCCAACTTCGCCATCTTTTGCCTCATCGATCGTATTCAGTCATATTGAATGAAGCCTTCCGATCCAAAAATCCAATGATTCTGAAATGTCTTGTCTGAACTAATTAAACTTTCTGATGTTAATGCGATTCTGAGAAGCGAGACAGGGTTGTCTGAAAAATGTGTCGATCTACAGATCTACGGTAGAAAAACTTAAAAAGTTTTATTAGAAGGAAATAAGTTTTCAGAGATGCTGAGGACGCGCAAATAATATAAGGAACCATGTGAAAATGAATTAAATCAAAAGGAACTGTGTGCATAGGATTTGGGTTCTACACAGTGCCTTTTGATTTTATTTATTCGTACATAGTTCTTTTTTGCATAAATACGTCCATCCATCTTATTTTTCTAAGTTATTGTCTTTATCATTGTAATAATAAATTTACAACTTATGTTCATATTTTTTTCTATTTTAAATTCTTTAGCTCTCCGGCTATAATAAACCAACAACGCTCCAAGTGTTCATCGGAACAGATCAAGGTCGAGTCATGCCTCACATGTTCTACCAAGCATGTCGGGTGCAAGGTAAAAATTCTACTCCATGCATCGAGAAAAAAGTTGATGGTACAATACTCATAGAATTAGATGTTGATCCTGCCAATAATATGAATGTTACGTAAGTTACCAATTCACTGAAAACACTTATTTTTACATATATTTCAAGAATTTTATATTCGACCACATCAAAATTTCCTTGAACTCTTCAACAGATCTAACTCTTATTCTAATTTTTTATTTAACTTATTTAATTTGACCTCTCCTCATCTTAAGAAAAATCAGCCGTTCAATAAATTTTATTATCAATAAGTTGTTCCAGCTATTCTCAATATTTATCGATGTTGCATTTTTCAATCATTAAAATCTGTTAAAATGAAAATTATTGGTGCTCAATTGGAATAGCTTTTTTGTGTACCGTTCTTTTTCTTCGGGTTTTTTTTAAAACTTTCGATGAAATTAAACAAGTTCCATTTTACTTCTAACTCTTAATTTATACAAAAATTTTCTAAATTTCCTAATTTTCTTCCTGAATTTTTGGTTGTCTTTCATTTTTTAAGCTCACATTCACATAATTAAAAAAGTTATTTAGTCATATGTACACTTAGCACTGCTGTATCATTACCTAAATGTTGACTCCTATTTGCTTTTTTGCAGATGTGACTGTGTTGGTATTTTGAAAGAAAGGAATGTTGATGTTGAGCACAGGTTTCCGGGTGAAAGTCCAACAAGAAGTAAAAAGAAATCAACCCGCTGTCGAATGGTCTTTCGAACATCCATCCTGCACCCTGATGGAACATCGGAAGTACTTCAAGTTGCATCTCAACCTATTGCCTGCAGTAAGTTTTTTTTATCATTAAAGCTTCTTCCTTCTTTTTTTGTTTTTGATTAAGCCACATCAAATCTGAAAAAAATTCTTATCTCAGAATCTGAAGGTTAGAACTGTCTCACTGAAAAGAAATACAATAACAGCTTGTGGTCTAACTTGTGTGAATTCAGATTTTGAAAATTTCATTCATGGATATGCTTCATTGATTAGTTTTCTAATAATGTGCTCCCGATCTCTTAAAATTATATTTTATCTTTTAGTGGATAGATTTTAAGTTTCTTGCCATGAACTTTTTCTGTCTAATTTTTGGGGCTCACCCATTAATTAATTGGTGCGTGATTTACAAATAATTATAAAGATAACAACCAGTTCGTACCATCCAAACCAATCATATCTGCCAAGACAGGATCCCCCCTGAGACACGAATCTAAAACAGACTTACTGTCCTCTAAGGTAGTAATTCCATCCTGAGTGCTCAACAGAAATATTTGTCATCATCTATTCATTGATAGAGTTTGTATAATATTTTTATCTCTTTCTTTCTTTCCACTCTCTTTAGCTCAACTTCCTGGTGTACCTGAAATTTGCAAAAAGTCCCTGACTGCTTGTCCAGCTACTGGGGGTTTGGAATTGTTTATCTTAGGAAAAAATTTCCTAAAAGATACCAAAGTGGTTTTCCAGCAAACTGAAGGAGACACCACTGTTTGGGAACAGTCTGTTGTTCCAGACAAAGAGTTCTTACAACAAGTAAGTTCTAGTTGATAAGTTTGATTTATACAAAAAATCATGTGATAATTTATCAATAATGGACCTTTAGACAAAGGACCCCACGCACCTATTATGGGAAGCTGCACCATGACCAAATGCTAATTTATTTATGCTGTTCGATTCTCCTCAAGATGCTGATCAAAAGTTATAATTGCGCCAACTTTCTACGATGCACCGTTTTCGCAAAAAAACCGCCGAGAAGATTTAATTATTCGGCGACAATGAATAAAAACAAACAAAGTATTTGAGAACAGGCCCGATGTAAATAAGGAAAAAACGTAGTGAGTGTCCGTCTTCTAATCTGTACCTGCCAACTCTGGGGCTATCTCCCTCCCGCTCTTGTCCGGTTGACGTTTCGATTTTCTTATTCCTATGCTCTTCAAGAATCTGATTTGGATGGTCGAGCAAAACGGCGTGCGGAATCCGAGATAAGACTGCCGCTAGGTGCAGGAGCTCTCATGATTTCCTTGTTGACACACAGCCGCTTGTCAATCAAGTACTGAAATGAGGAATCTTTCTGGCTTTTTATCGTCAAATAATTGAATGTTCTCGGCGGTTTTTTTGCGAAAACGGTGCATCGTAGAAAGTTGGCGCATTTATAACTTTTGATCAGCATCTTGAGGTGAATCAAATGACGCTAAATAAATTAGCATTCAGTCATGGTGCAGCCTCCCATAAGAGGTGTGCGGGGTCCTTTAAGCATTTTGATACATGGCAAGGCTGGGCAAGGCAATGACTGGAATATTCTGAATACCTCACATTAGATTGTCTTGCAAGTCATAAATAAAATGAATCTTTCACAATTATCAGATGAGGAGTTTTTAATCCATAATACAAAGAGCATAATAAAAAACATGGGGTTGGTTCCAACTTACGGACGTCTGAGAGCGTTCACTGAACGAACCTTTTTATTTATTATTACCAGGAAATAATTAAATTATTATTTAAAATTTGGTAATATCATTATCCGCCAACAGCACAGAACGGAATGAACACTGAAAGATACATAGCTTATAATATAAGCTGTTTTGACATGACATTCTATTGTGGAGTGATGTTTACGGTTCATATTTTACAGTGAATGGGTACTTTGTCCACCACAAGCTTTGAGCAGAATTTTTGAACAAGCACTGGAATTGAACATAGAAACATAATTAAGTTCAATACTTTCACGAAGAAGGAATAAATTATGTGTATCAAAATGAGCCGCTCATCAATGTTCTTGCAAAAATGAGACGCTAGGTTTTGAGCCTCAGTTCTGCAAGCACAGCAATTAATGGATCATTTTCTTCTGTTTGCCTTTGATTTTTTAATGTATCCATTTGCTGATTGAAGATAAGGTTGTAATCACCAGGAAACATCCTACTTTTTATTTGTTCTCCCCCGGATCAAGTCGTGTGTTTTGAGCTGATGAATCGTTTATCATCCTATTTATTGATTTCTCCTTTTTTAACTTATTACAGTCGCATCTTGTTTGTATGGTTCCTCCCTACAAAGTAACAGACATCCTAGAGCCTGTCTCAGTGTTTCTGAGTGTGGTATCCAGTGGCAGAGTGAGTGAACCTCACTCATTTCTCTACACTCCGGATGGTTCAAGTTCTCAGTCTCCAGGTAAATTGACCACTTACTTTCTCTCTACAATTACTCTCATTCAATGATTTGATCAATAATTTAGAAGTATATCGAGCTGCTCTGTGCTAGTCCTTAAGCTTTTTGCATTTTGTCCGGGCCGAGAAGAGTGTGCTTCTGTATTTACCACTCACAATTCAACCAGGATTTGTAATGGGATACTTTCAAGCATTCTCATCGATTCATAATAGTATTGCTTCAGCCCACCCATTTTATCGCCAACGATTTTGATGCTGTTTCCTCATTTTTCATGAATCAAATTCATTCATTTGGTGTGTTGTCATGTTCTAGCGGTCAAGTTCTCAAATTTTAATTTTTTTTCATCAATTTATTTATTTTTATTATTGTTATTTTTTTAACTTGCATCGTCCTAAGCATGTTTGGACATGGTTCTCAGCAAAAACTTTTTGCTTTTCAATTTATTTCCAAACTTTCATAATTAAAATACAATCTTAACCTATCAAATCCAAGTTTTGCCTTCCTCCTGCTTGGTCAGAATTCTGTCATCCATGAAATCTTGCCAAACTTCGGGCATGGTTGTCTTTCTTCCGAAATTAAATACGCCTTTCAAACTAAGAACATTAGGTTAAAAAAACTCATGACTGATTTTATTACCAATACCTAATTTTATACCCAGCATTATGGCACTAACAGAAAATTGAAGAATTCATCTTACGTCATGTTATTATTCTTCTGAAAACGCAGGGCCAATCCCATCCTAATAATTTTTTTTCTCTCTCTCTCTTGCTAAGAAAAGTCAGTAAGAAAATTGTCCTACTTCTAATAGAAGTGTAAATAAGCCCCTCTTTGTAAGAAATTCTCAAGGATAAATCTGTAATAATTATTTTAAGCATTCTAGTCATCCAAATCAAATAGATTTAAAACTTGTCGGAAATATATCCTAGCTTTTTACAATATTTTATCTGTGTAAATACCATGTCACCTCCACTGCTTTCTAGACTCCATTAAAATTAATTTTTTATCAATTTGTATCCGGCAAGTTTGAGGTTAATAGTGAACAAAAGTAATTGAAATATCTTAAATGTCGTAATCATACCAGTTTCATTTCCATCCAATTCTCGTGATAATATAAGCCTTTTCATCAAATTACACACATAGCTTTAGCAGAGCATTCATCCATCTCTCATTCGCTTTTCTTTCAATTCAAATTTTCATCTTGAAACTCACAGTTCTTACTTTCTCTGGATGTCACAAGATTTTGTGAGTATTTTTTTCCACTTTGAGGTAGGATATTACTGTGCCTTATTTTGTCAACAAGACTGAAGTATTTATTTTCCCCCTCACTATTGTACGTTCTCTATATGTGCATTGATTGATTAAGTCTACTGAAAATTCATTGAGTTGTGTTTGGTACATATCGCTACAAATACTGTTCAGCCAATATTTTTAATTATCTCTCTATTTCATTGAAATTTTTAGTTACTTGCTGTTTTCAGAATACTTATCCTTTTGAAAAATGGGGTGGTAAAATATGGAATGAAAGAATCGGTTACTTTCTTCCTCTTAGATTTTTGTGAAATCATTTCTTCTTGCATGGTTTTCATTTATTTGTCATAGTTTTTTCCCCTAATATTTCTTCCTTTATTTTATTCATCAAAAATCTCCTGTTTTCAAGTTAATGAAATTTACTGAATTTTATAATTCCAGTTTTAAAGTGTCATTTCACATCGACAATTTGTCTCTTTATCTGTGACCATTGAAAAAAAGATTTTCCAGTTACAAAATTTGATGAAGAATTTTGAATCAGCTGAACGATAGTGATAAAATAATAGAAATTTAAAAAAATCAATATTTTGAGTTGGAAGTGAAGTGAATAAAAATTTCAAAGGAATTTAATGCCGAAAAAAAAAACCAAAGAAAGAAGTGAATTGCTGGATGAATCATATTATTTTTTCATTGGATAGTTTTCTTCGTAGATGATCTGAACATAAGATTTAGAAACTGATAATAATATTTTGTCCAGCAACAAGGAATTTTCATTTTAAATATTGCACCCGGTATAGTCTTAGCAGCCCCTCAGGTTGATCAGTTAGAATCCAAAATTTGTTGAGCTTTTGTTGAATCACTGTTTGGTATTGAGTAAACACGCTGAGTTTTTGCGATGAAATAATTCCATTCTTCATATTCTTTCAATTTGTATCATACTTGCAAGGAAGATATGAAATAGATGTGGCTCAAAGTACCTCAAACATTTTGTGACCATAGCTTGTAGTAAACAAGCTTATTTTCCAATATTTATTTTGCCAATTATTCGTGTTGCTGGTGCAAGTTTTAGTTTTTGTGACCAGAGTAGGTAGCATCCTCAGTAATCAGTATGAAATTTTCAGTTTCTGTTGCAATGGTAGCATATAAGAGTCCCTAATAGTACTTTCATTTTTTCATAATTCTAACAAGTAAACTAACCTTTCTTGAGCTTTTTTCCCCTTAATTTCTCCGTAGCTTGTGTCAGCATTGATACATTTTACTGTCTAAATTTCTCGGTGTCTTGATAGTATATTATTTTCATGGCAGGGCCTTTTATAAAATCCAAACAAAACCTTCATTCAAGGAAAAGATAGCTCAGCCCTCGTGTTTTTCCAAGGAGAGGAGAGTAATTCTTAAAGTATAGTCCGCAACTGCAGTACACATAGAATAGAATTTATGATAAAACAGAGGTATGAATCTCAAGTATAAACCCTCCACATGAGCAGTGTCAAGTTGTTGTAGTGCTTCATGGGTTGATGTTTAAGACATGCGAAGTTCAAAAGTAAGCTATCGGTAGAGTTCCTGCCAAATAAATTTACGCATTTTTAGACTGCGAAGTCATTTCTGCATGGAAGAAAATGCAAGAAGCAAGACGGCGGATCTTCTGTCGCAGTCTAAAGGTGTGTAAACTTAGCTGGTGCAGACTCTACATAATAATCCTTAGCTTTAGATTTTTAAAAACATGGAAAAAAAAGTGTAAGACTTGTGTGTAAGTGAAAGCACTCCAAGCTCAGTTCTTGAAATCTGATTGAACCATAATGCCTTAACATAATGCCTTAAGGGTGTTTGCTGAATCATTTGCTCTCGGTGGATTGAGGAAGCGAAAAGTATTAACTGTCACGAATTTTAAAGAATGGCATTTCATTGGTGACTGTTTTATAAAATATCTACCTTTTTGGAGATGCCACATGTTTAATGTACAACTTTATTTCCTTCATCCCTTTCTTCTGGTGGGTTTTTATGAATGAAATCTATTGGTTATTCTCATCTCTCTCTTGCAATATATGAGCTTCTATAAAGTTAATATAAGATGAATTTTCCTCTGATACTAACACTCTCGGATCTTTCGTAGTTGTGACCAGTACGAACTCTAACGTCTCAGAAGAATCAACATTTTGTCAACTTATCACTTTAATTATTTTTGAAAGTCCGGTTATTATCTGACATATTTTTCTAAAAAAAGAAAAAGAAAAGAAAAATCAGGTATTTGTCTTGGTAGCTATATTTAAAGTTCTTATGAGTCATCCGAAGGATCAATTTTGATCTTTTTAAACATTTTCTAAGTGCTTGCCGCTTTACTCCTTCATCCCTTTTTTTCCTCCTTTTTTTGTGAGTCTATGCCCAAGAAACTTGCTCTTTAGAGAATGCAGATTTCTTGCATATTGTTCTTTCACTAATTTACTGTGCGAAAAATCATTGAAGTCATTTCTTCATTTCCTTACTTTTTGTTTTCTTGATGTTCCGTTTAGATTTTCCATTGAGGTTTGGAAAGTTGATCGGTGACACTCTCGATCATCGATATAAAAATTTAAAAAAATAGGGACCCCAAGCTCAGAGCACTGAAAATGCTCAATACATACTTTATTGAATTTTGGAAATAACATGGTTGGAACCAGATAGAATTAGGTCTCATTTCTTTGCACACAGAAACTGAGGAAGAGAGAAAATTTGGGTACACTATGTTATTCGGTGCAAAAATATTATAAGAAATCTAAATGAAATTTTGCAATGAGTTTTTCAGTTTACTCTAATTTTTTCATTCCTCAGTCATGATTGATCAGTAGGTAGTGTCTAGTGCATATTGGGAATTGTATCTCAGGTAGTTAGTAGTAACACACAAAAAGCAGCTAGGCCTCAGACCTTCTGTTTTTCACTTATCATTTTCCATGGAAAGTTCAATCTTTAAGTGTTCTTTAAATCTTGGTAGAAGAAAATGTTCTTTTAAAATTTCCTCTACAGCAGTTTCAAGGAATGATTTAGTTTCAAGGAAAACTCTCTTGAATCATTCTTTTCATTCACTAAGCATTTAAATTTATTACATTTATAGTAAGAACAGATGAGATAAGATGAACGGGAGCTGAAAATAAAGATGTCGTTTCCCGAACGCGAAAAATTGCTGCATAGTCAAGCTGTAATTATCAGCAATCTCAAAGCCACTTTGTCCTAATTCTCTCTGATCTCAACATGTAAATTTACATGCAATGTGGTTTCCAACTTGTTTTATTCAGTTATTGATTTTGTCATTGTCTCTGGTAATTTTGTCTTTTCAATTGTGTGTGATGCCTCTACAGTCTATGCGTTTGGTTTTTCCTCCTCCCCTTGTTTACAGCAACAGGTTTTCAGGTTGCCATTTTGTCAACGTCTGCGCATCACTAAGCATTGAGTCCTGTGGGAAAGGCCTGCGCGAGATATGCATCGTAAAAGTCCCTCAGGTTCCATCAGAAAGTATTCACTGTCATATTTTTCTTGTGTTCTTTGGCTCATTTTCACCTGTAATTCTCTGTAATTTATTTTGATGATTGTGAATAATCCATTTTACTCCTCAGATATCAGGAAATCCCTCTTTCATTTTAAGCGTAGAACATCTGTAAAATGACCGTGGGCCCAAAGATAGGTTTAATTGCTGTGCTTGAAAAGCTCTCTCTGAGCTTGTAAACAGATAAGTTCGTCACTGTTACGAATTTATGGTTAAAATGCATTTCTAATATTTCTTGTAT